GGGGTCTGGCCTCTCGTCGTGGGGTCTGGCCTCTCGCAGCGGGGTCTGGCCTCTCGCGGTGGGGTCTGGCCTCTCGCGGTGGGGTCTGGCCTCTCGCAGCGGGGTCTGGCCTCTCGTGGTGGGGTCTAGTATATACAATCATTCTCTCCATAGGGGTCTGGCCTCTCGTGGTGGGGTCTGGCCTCTCGCAGCGGGGTTTGGCCTCTCGCGGCGGGGTCTGGCCTCTCGTGGCGGGGTCTAGTATATACAATCATTCTCTCCATAGGGGTCTGGCCTCTCGTGGTGGGGTCTGGCCTCTCGCAGCGGGGTTTGGCCTCTCGCGGCGGGGTCTGGCCTCTCGTCGTGGGGCCTAGTATATACAATCATTCTCTCCGTAGGGGTCTGGCCTCTCGTGGTGGGGTCTAGTATATACAATCATTCTCTCCATAGGGGTCTGACCTCTCGTCGTGGGGTCTGGCCTCTCGCAGCGGGGTTTGGCCTCTCGCGGCGGGGTTTGGCCTCTCGCGGCGGGGTCTGGCCTCTCGTGGCGGGGCCTAGTATATACAATCATTCTCTCCATAGGGGTCTGGCCTCTCGTCGTGGGGTCTGGCCTCTCGTCGTGGGGTCTGGCCTCTCGCAGCGGGGTCTGGCCTCTCGCGGTGGGGTCTGGCCTCTCGCGGTGGGGTCTGGCCTCTCGTGGTGGGGTCTGGCCTCTCGCAGCGGGGTCTGGCCTCTCGTGGTGGGGTCTAGTATATACAATCATTCTCTCCATAGGGGTCTGGCCTCTCGCGGCGGGGTCTGGCCTCTCGTGGTGGGGTCTGGCCTCTCGCAGCGGGGTTTGGCCTCTCGCGGCGGGGTCTGGCCTCTCGTCGTGGGGCCTAGTATATACAATCATTCTCTCCGTAGGGGTCTGGCCTCTCGTGGTGGGGTCTAGTATATACAATCATTCTCTCCGTAGGGGTCTGGCCTCTCGTGGTGGGGTCTAGTATATACAATCATTCTCTCCGTAGGGGTCTGGCCTCTCGTGGTGGGGTCTAGTATATACAATCATTCTCTCCATAGGGGTCTGGCCTCTCGTGGTGGGGTCTGGCCTCTCGCAGCGGGGTTTGGCCTCTCGCGGCGGGGTCTGGCCTCTCGTGGCGGGGTCTAGTATATACAATCATTCTCTCCATAGGGGGTCTGGCCTCTCGTCGTGGGGTCTGGCCTCTCGCAGCGGGGTTTGGCCTCTCGTGGTGGGGTCTGGCCTCTCGTCGTGGGGTCTGGCCTCTCGCAGCGGGGTTTGGCCTCTCGTGGTGGGGTCTGGCCTCTCGCAGCGGGGTTTGGCCTCTCGCGGCGGGGTTTGGCCTCT